GTGTTGAATGCGGATCAGTATCAGAAAATAGTGAATGCGGTTCAGTATTTGCCTTACTATATTAGTTGGTGCCTTCATTCCTTTCCAAAACAAGAAGAAAAAAAATTAGCTAGTAGCGCCTTCATTGTGTAAACTATTAGACCCAAAAACGGTGTGAAGTGACAAAATTTGCAAGGTTTAACGTACATTTTAGCAGCTTCTTTGAAAGGGGTTGGTAGTTCGAATTATATGCTATGAAGTCATCTCATCGTGTAGTTGTGGACTGTTTATGTTTTCTCGCTGGTGTATAAGACCTACAATTATGTCATGATATAGCTTTGTCTGCTTAGGTAGGCCAATACTCTTGGTGACAACTTGACAAGGATGTAATTTAATTTTGGTTTTAACGTAACAAAACTAGTTAATGTCTGCTCTCTATGATTGAAAGCCATCTCATTCAAAGTCTCTTTTGATACATGTCACAGAGGTGGAAAACTGAGGCTATACAGAAATGTGATGTAATAGTGTACACAAAGATCTTTCTCAAGTTCCCCTATAAGTTCTGGCCTTGTGGCCCGGGAAAAGAGTTCTTCATCTATGCCCATGAGCGGAGAGGCTACTACACATTTTGGCAGGTTGGTTAAATATATTTGTCATTCTTGACGCCAGCTAACATATATATGAAATTTCCATGTTGCTTCCAGCAGATCAACAGACAGATTCAATAAGTTTGTTGTGCACAGAATTTCCTGCTAGCCTGTCATATTTTAAAGCCATTATTACTTATTTAATTTAATTCTATAAATGACAACATTTTAATTTTCATTTCAAGTGTTGTGGTTCATGCATCTTGGAAAAACATTTAAAATTTAGGATTGCTCACTACAAGAGCTTTACGCAACCTTCAATATGTAAAATCATAGGTGGGAGGGCATGTAGCTCAAGTAGTTAAGAACATTTACCCGTGCACCCGAGGTCCTAGGTTCTATTCCCTCCTCCCCCAATATCGCTTGTATTAAAAAAATATATATCATGTTATCAGATATAACCAAGCTGTCATTTTAGTTTTGGTTGATAAGAATCTTGCTGCTTCCCTAGTCTGGGTACATACAAATTGCTAAATGAGTTAGTACATAAACTCCGCACCTCTTTCTTTTTAGATAACCTCAGTATTTAGTTTTGAAACTTGAAAACGACCTTGTCCATTATATTGCTTGTTTTTCAGAGCTAGGTCGTAACTACCACCATTTACAATATTATGGTAATAAATATTGATTTCTTTTCTTGTTCTGATCAACAAACAAGAGTCTCTTGCAATATTAGTTTGAATGGTTCTTCCTTTCATGCATTCATATCTCTGTCACTTTCTTAGAGCTGGCAATATTGGTTTCGCTTTGAGCTCAATCAGTATCCCAACTTTTGTTCATTTGCTTTAGTATTTGAATACTGTACATTATGATCAAATCTCTAACCTCTATTATATTAAAATCATCTTCTTTCGTTTTATTAGGAAAAAATCTTTATATTTTAAGGACAACACGTGGCTAGTTGTGAGATGTCACTGTCTTTTTCATTTACAAAACTATTTATTTGACAGATATATGGATAAAGATTCTAAACTTATATTATGACAAATAAAATATGTAAGATTGATACATATAGTATATTTTAAGTTTAGAATTGGATTATCAAGTCATCTTTAACTCATCATATTCTCTCCAAGCTGACTGCTAATCTGTTGCCATGTTATCAGCACATGGAGAATGCATATCCTGGATCCAATATACTGGTCGTGACGTTGACGAATGAGGAATCAAAGCGTGTGGAAGCTCAGTCTGACGAGGAAACATTGAAAGAAGCCATGGGGGCTCTTAGGGACATGTTTGGACCCAACATTCCTGAAGCTACTGATATATTTGTACCTCGGTGGTGGAACAATAGGTTCCAGCGAGGCAGCTATAGCAACTACCCAGTAATCTCTAATGGCCAAGTTGTTCGTGACATCAAGGTTTGCCTTCTGTCTTTGATCTTCTATTTCACCATTAATAGATCAAATTTTACTTCACATATCTGGTAGCGTACGTAAAGATGATTGATTGAATCGTTACGCTCTAATTACCAATATTCAGCGTCCTTCATCTTTGGTAAGTCCTAAAGTGAGATAATTAAATAGAGTATAGCTGGTTTGCGTCAAGGAGAATGATCTCATGGGGTTACAACTTATAAACTGAGCCTTTAGATGTATTTATAGGCATATGATGACCTGTAAGATTCTTAAATGTAAGTTGGAATCTGCTAACTTTGACAAAATCTTTTACTCTATGATATCATTGCTTATGTGGCTTGTCACACTTATCATTTTGATCCACATGGTATGTGACATCGTGGAGTAAGAAAATTGTGTACAAAAATATAAGAAAAACGGTAAAAGAAAATTGTAGCGATAGTATTGCTCGCTAAAGTTTATGTATCTCCCCTTAGAAGTTTTTCTATTTGGGTTGCAGCAGATATGGAGACATGTACTTTTTTCTCTGATCTGCTATCTTTTTAACCGGAGTTCCTTGATCAATGAAAAGAAAATAGATCACAGATTAATAAAAAGCTCTGTAACGAACTGCATTACTTTTCTTTGTCTTTTATGTTTATGTCCAGGCCCCATTAGGCTGCATCTTCTTCAGTGGGGAACACACAAGCGAGAGATATAGCGGCTATGTCCATGGCGGATACCTTGCAGGTGTGCAATTCTTCTGAGAGTTATTTGGGAGATTAAAGGCCTCCAATTATAAACATAAATTCTAATGTGATCTTGTATGTGTTGTGGCATTGGTGTTTGATGATTTTTATGATCAATAGGTATTGAGACGGGTAAAGCTTTGCTGGAAGAAATAGAAAAGGAAAAAGAAAGGAGTATTGAGAGTGAGAATCAAACATTTTTGTTAGAACCCTTGCTTGCATTGACTGGTTCATTAAGTATGACGCAAAACGATGCTGTATCGAGTCTCAAATGCGATATTCCTAGACAACTGTATCTAAGTGGCAAAGTTGGCGTCCCGGAGCTTTATTATGACTATGTGGACCTATAGAAAAACCTCAGTATGATGATGATGATGTTAAAAACATGAGCATTGAGATAGATCTCACACGATGGAGTTGAAATAATTTCTGTTTAAATCCGTGATGCCGATTACAAAGTTGAATCAAGTGAGAGATACAGGAGCAACATAGCTGGGAAAGATGTAAGTGTAGTAGTATGATTCATAATGGTATACTTGGGGGATGAAATTAACGAAGTTGCAATGGTTTTGGCTCCAAATGGAACTGGTATTTGGGAGAATATACATAATGTAATAGTCGATTCGTGTAGTCACTTGTTGAGAGGGGGAGTGGGGGGGGGGAGAGGAGAAGGCTGTAGTTTAGGCTCTAATTGTACTGCTAATGAATGTTAAGTTCACAAGAAAGTAGTCTTTGTCATTTTCTTCTGGGTTATTGACCGTAATGGTCTCCCAACTTTTGCTCAAGTCTCATTTTGATGCACTAACTAAAATTTCATTTTAATAGTTATCTAACTCTCCATTTAGTATCAAATTGGTCATACCCGGTCAATTTTACCATTAAATTTAGGGGTAAAATCGTCCATATGAAATAAACACTAATAAAAATTTAATTAAATAAGCATTTGAAAATTAAAATGATTACTTCCCTGAAATAACTTTTTTTTTTTCAAATAACTTTTCCTATAAAACCATTAATAGTGATGGAGTTTTTTTAAAAGAAATATTGATAAATCTTTTTCATAATTAATGGACATTCTAAATTCTAATTGATTGAAAAGTTAAAATGATTAAAAAAATAAAAAAAGAGATGAAAACCCAACCCATTAATACCATCCCAGTCGCCAATGCCATCACCAACTACCCCCACCCCCACAGCCCTCTTTCGGCCAACCCCTACCCAAATTATCATCATTCCTCTCCAATCCAAAACCCCACCATGCACTATGACCTCTCTCTCTCTCTCTAGACCAGAACCACACCACCCTTCCATCACAACAACAACAACAACAAAAGTCTGCTGTAAAAAAATTTGGGGTAAAAAATCTGTTTTATTGATATTTCACAGGGGTTGGTTGGTTTTGATAGAAGAATAATATATATTTTCCTTCCATCACACCCACGGCCACTCATGAAGCCCACCCCTCCACATATGGAGCTAGGGTTCTAATTTGAGGGAGCTTCTAACATGTGAACGATTTTACCTTGAATTTAATAGCAAAGTTGACAGACTTCGATGGTAGGACCATTTTGATACTAAATAGATAGTTGGAGGAGTATTGAAATGAAAATTTTAGTGGATGGACCAAAATGAAACTGGAGCAAAATTTGGAAGACCATTTCAGTCGATAACCATTTTCTTCTAGTATTTGTATTTTGGCTAAATTATTGATGCACCCTTGTGCTTTACTGAAAATATCACTTTACCCTTCACATTTTTAAACTGGGTTAATATGCTCTATGTGCTTTATTTCTGTATCTCCATTCCCCAATTCCGTCAATTTGATTAGTAAAACTGTTAACTTGATAACGAAATGAGGTAACGAATGACACGAAAATAAAGCAACTACATATAAGTATCCTACAAATAGTTATATTGTTTTAATTTGATCTCTCAGCAACCTATTACTCTTCTTGCAAGTCTTGCCTTTTCTTCTTTTGAATATTTGATTTCTTGACCGAGAGCCTCAAGAGTCGTACCTTGCTGTGTCGGTGGCTTACCCAAAAACGGAAGAAAAAAATAAAGAATTCCCAGTGACGACGAGTGTAGACTGAAGTATGTAGTACAAGTGGCAAAGTAGAGAGCACAGACACAGCTCAGTATTGAATTGAGCTCTCTGAGTTTTTAGAACACACATTGATCAAACTCTTCAATTCAAACCCATCAATCATCACAAACCTAAAGCCGAGGGATTTGAAACCCTTTTCTAGTTTGATTTTGATTTTAAAGCAGAGCAGTTTTGGATCCAAATGTTGGTCCAAGACCGCTCTACCCCAAAACCCTCCAAACCCGAGCAACCCTTTCTCACAGCAAGTCACTTCCCTCAGTCCAAAATCTTCACTTTCCCCAAATGGGTCTCCTTTAATCTGTTCAAGATCACAACCATTTCATTCCTAACCCTCACCATTGCTGCCCTCTTCTTCCTCTACCATGCCAATGACTCTCCCTCCACCTTCCTCTGTTTCAACAAATCCCACCTCAAGATCCCCAAACCCATTGAATTCCCCAAACTTAGCTTCAAGTCAATCAAACCCATTTCAGATAAGTCCTCCAATTACGCTTCTTTCGGATCAGATAGATGGGTTGTGGTCTCTGTTTCGGATTATCCTTCTGATTCACTTCGAAAACTGGTCAAACTCAAGGGCTGGCAAGTCCTTGCAATTGGGAATTCAAGGACCCCAGTGGATTGGAGTCTCAAGGGAGTGATATATTTGTCAATGGATGACCAGGCCAAATTGGATTTTCGAGTTTTGGACTACCTTCCTTATGATTCTTATGTAAGGAAGACTGTTGGGTACCTTTTCGCTATCCAACACGGTGCGAAAATGATATATGACGCTGATGATCGTGGCGATGTGATTGATGGTGATCTTGGTGAGCACTTTGATCTGAAATTGTCAAATGTGGATGTAATGCAGGAGAAACTTTTGCAGTATAGTAATGAAAATCCGAATAGAACAGTTGTGAATCCATACATTCATTTCGGGCAACGGTCAATTTGGCCTAGGGGATTGCCTTTAGAAAATGTAGGTGAAGTTGGGCATGAGGATTTCTATAGTGAAGTATTTGGAGGATTGCAGTACATTCAACAAGGTATATCTAATGGCTTACCAGATGTTGATTCAGTTTTCTACTTCACAAGGAGGTCAGGTTTGGAAGCATTTGACATAAGGTTTGATGAGCATGCTCCAAAAGTTGCTTTACCACAAGGTATGATGGTGCCACTGAATTCTTTTAATACATTGTTTCATTCTAATGCATTTTGGTCTTTGATGCTTCCTGTTTCGGTTAGTAGAATGGCTTCTGATGTATTGAGGGGTTATTGGGCACAAAGACTTTTGTGGGAGATTGGTGGTTATGTTGTTGTTTATCCTTCAACTATTTATAGATATGATAACATTGAGTCATACCCATTTACGGAAGAGAAGGATCTTCACATAAATGTGGGTCGATTAATTAAGTTCTTGGTTACTTGGAGATCTACTAAGATTAATTTATTTGAGAAAATTTTGGAATTGAGTTATTTGATGGCGAAAGAAGGGTTTTGGACTGAGAAGGAGGTGAAGTTCACTGCAGCTTGGCTTCAAGACCTGGTTGCTGTCGGGTATATTCAGCCAAAGCAGAAGGCCATAAAGTTGGATCAGCCGAGAACAGCCATTGGTCTTGCAGACCGGAAGGAATTTATTCCCCAAAAACTACCATCTGTGCATCTTGGGGTTAAGGAATCAGAGACAGTAAATTATGAGATAGGGAATTTGATTCGCTGGAGGAAGTTTTTTGGCAATGTTGTTTTGATCATGTTTGTCGGTGGGCCAGTGGAGCGGACTGTGTTGGAGTGGAGATTGCTTTATGGCAGGGTATTTAAAAGTGTGGTGCTTTTGTCGGACGGTGCTAAAACAGATTTAGCTGTGGAGCAAGCTACTCTGGACCAAGTATATAAGTAAGTTGTTGATAATGTCTGTGGTTTCTTTGTTGTCAATGCCAACTTCCTCACATTCATGGGTTTTTCTTTTGGCAAGACCAGATTGCGTTGGTTTTTTTCTTTGCGTGTGCGTACGGATATCTGTGTCTTCGTTAGATCTGATGATGCATGTTGGATTTTGGGCTGTCTTCTGCTAAGATTTTATCTGATTGGCCCTCCATGTTGTCTTGTTTCTTCTGGTTCATTCAATTTAATCTGCATCCGAACATCCAATTGATATAGAACTATAGCTTTTTAGTTAGTTTAGGAATCAACATTATACTTGATATCTTTTTTTTTATTTTTTTTAAAAACAATATACTTGATAAGAATTGAGGAAAAGAAACCTATTCAAATTCTTAGAATAGTCAGTCTCTTTTTAATCATTGACTTGGAAATGACTCAAAGTCAAAGTTACATCCTATGCACCAACTTATTCAGGTTGTAATTATAGGCGATCTTCTAATATGGTAAATCGTTAGCAATTTGAACACAGCCTTTCTTTAATTTTCATCATTTTTAATGTGTATTATGCTGTCCTTACAATTCTCAGATGACATGCAGGTATCTCCCCAAAATATTTGATAGGTTTACCAGTGCGGAAGGGTTCTTGTTCCTGCAGGACAATACCATTCTCAACTACTGGAATTTACTGCAAGCAGACAAGACTAAGCTGTGGATCACTGACAAGGTAATGCAAATTCCCAAGTACAACACCCTGTATTTTAGACAAACACTGACTGATTCGTTCATTCCCTATCTCTTCCAGGTTCCTCAGTCTTGGACTACAGCCTCTATCTATGGTAAAGACTCCGAATGGTTTTCAAAACAAGCAGACATGGTAAAGAAAGTTGTCAGCACTATGCCAGTTCATTTACAGGTCAGTTACAAGGAGAGTAGCACAAGGGAGCAGGGTCTCAGTATATGCAGCTCTGAGGTATTCTATATTCCTCGACAATTTATTGGGGACTTTGTAGATCTTGTAGGACTTGTGGGAAAATTTGAAATCCATAATAAGGTAGCAGTTCCCCTGTTTTTCATGGCAATGGATTTACCTCATAAATATGACTCTGTGCTCAATACAATGATTTATAAGCCAGAGACATCATCCAGCAACTCTTCAAACATTTATTCTGCTAAAGCCCCAGCCGTACACCCATGGACCGTTTCCAGTGAGTCAGATTTCATCGAACTTATAAGATTCATGGCAACAGGTGACCCTCTACTAATGGAGCTATTTTGAAGTACAGAAAAGTTAAACTTTGTACCATTCCCATTATATACGAGGCATCTCCAAAGAGATTGACACTTGAAGGGTAGAAAAATACTTAATACTTTAGTGAACTTGGGTATTTACTTTTCGTCTTTATATGTTGTGGAAATTTTGAGGTAAGGGGAAAGGATGTCATGCAGTTTGTTCAGGTAGGTTTCTCTGCTTTTACTTTTCTATTCTGTACAGAATTTTCTTTCATCTGTATGATTCAGTTATTGTATTTGAGCTGTGGGTGTATCAAATGAGAAGCATTTATTAGAAGAATCATTCCTCTACTGCTTCATAGTTTTCGGACAAGTAGCGTTTTTATAGTGAAAATTTTCAGTGTCTGTACTCTCCAGTTTATAACACATGATTGTCGCCTAGAGATTTTGAGATACGTGAAGAGTCATCCCTAGATTATGTAAAGATTCAACAGAACAAAGGGTAAGTCCTGAACACTGTTGGAAACGTGAAATAAGCATTTAGGAATTGAGATATGATGAAGGGGACCAAGTATAGAAAGGGAAACCCCTCTCTTGTAATCAATTCATTTTGGGTGATTCTATGAACATCAATGGACATTCTTGGTTATCCGTGATGGAACCCCTGGTCCTCATGGACGAATGCCTTACCATTATGCTTTCCTCCAAGGCCACTTTAGCCATTCTATCATTTTTGATTAGCTGTTCACCTGTTCTTACGTGGCAGCCTACAGGCTGGCCCTAACAACCTCATGTATAAAATGCTATTGCATCAATGAGAAAGGATACTGAACTTTGCCAAATACTTATTTTGTCTGTTTCCTTCTATCTGTTTTGCAATACACTGTGCTGGTACCTATCATTGGTATCAGAGCCACCACGACAATGGGCAGTCCTGTGGCCAGCTCCCCCCCCTTCCATTCCTGCCATCGAATTAGAGGTGGATTTACACCGCGAGCAAATTCTAGAGGTCCAGCAAAACCTTTCCTCTCTCCAGGTTTCCTTTGGCAAGGCTCTTGAGAACCTTACCCAGCAACAATCCTCCTTCCAACAAACCCTTTTAGACGCTGTTCATCGCCTCCCACCCTCATCCCAACCCCTCCCTCCCATCACCACCGCACCCCCCATCTCCTTCGGCTCCGTTCGTCCCCCACCTTCCCATCACTCACCACAGGTTTCTTCGCACGCTTCTTCCTCTTCCCAACCTTTCCATCATCGCATCTTTTCCCCTCATACCTCCCCTCCCTCCGCCGTTTTTACCACACCACCCCCTTACACCCACGCCTACACTACCCAACCCCCATCCACCCACGCCTACACTACCCAACCTTTTTTTTCCCACGTCCCCATCACCCAGCTTGTTCCCCACCCCTGTTCAACACCAACCCCCCATACACTTCTCACCGCCTATACCAGACCACAGCCACGGCTTCTCCACACACCCCAAAAATCGACCTTTACCGTTTTACTGGAAAGGACCCCTACGCTTGGCTGACCACTGCGGAGCGCTACTTAGACCTCCATGAGATCCCTCCCCATTTACATGTTAAAGTTGCTGCCGTACACTTGATTGATGACGCCGCCCTATGGATGCGATGGTTTGAGACCCGTTTTCCAAATCCATCTTGGACCTCATTTTCCGAAGCCTTACTGGCTCACTTCGGTTATGGTGACCCCTTGGACTTTAACTCCGCTCTCTCCCACATCCAACAGATTGGCACTCTCGACGAATACAACGCCGAATTTACAAAACTTTCGTGCCGCGCCCTTGACTGGTCTGACGACCAACTTAAAGGCGTTTATGTGGGCGGCTTAACCACTGAGCTTCGTGATAACGTTCTGATTCACCATCCGGCGAATCTGAATGCAGCCAAACGATTGGCCCGAGCCTTTGATAATCGTCGGAAGTCGACACGCATCCAGTTTCGACCATTTTCTCCGCGTTTCTCTCCAGGAGCAAGCTCTCGCCCTCCCGGATTGCCACCAGCTTCGACAACGCCATCTGTTACCTCGGGACAACCACCCATTCGTAGGCTCTCTCAGGCCGAGGTCCAGGACCGGCGTGAAAAAAATCTCTGCTTCAACTGTGATGAACCTTTCCGGGCCGGTCATCGCTGCAAACGACCTCAACTCCTCATGATTGATGCGGATTGGGACGTTTTTGATGACTCCTTCGAGGAAGCCATTACCTACGAAGTCGTACATGGCACACCCACGATTACCCCTGGCAACGAGGAGTCTGAACCTTCTCTGACCATCCATGCGCTCACAGGTTCTCCGTGTACACGCACAATGCGCCTTCAAGGCTCCATTGGCAAAATGGGCCTCACGGTTTTTATAGACACCGGCTCCACCCATAATCTATTAAACCCACATATTGCCAAACGATTGGGCCTCACTATTGACTCTTCTCAACCCCCCAAGCGAATCCAGGTTGCCAATAATGATATCATTGAGACCAAGGGCTTCATTTCTCAGGTCCAGGTATCTTTACAGGATTATACACTTGTTACGGATTGCTATTTGCATGCTGTCTCCGGTTGCGATCTTATTTTGGGTGCTGATTGGCTCGACACATTGGGCTTTATCGGTTGGAATTTTAAGAAAAAAATCATGGTCTTCAAAGTGGATGGCGAAATTCATCGGTTAGTGGGTCAACCAAAACTGAGGCCTCCTTGGTGGACTGTCATGTGATGACCCAGATCTTAGCTCAGGAACGACTGGGCGTTCTTGCTCAATTGGTCTCTGTTGCAGACTCTGCAACTTCTAATTCACCCCCTGCCTCAGTTCAACCTCTCTTATCACAGTTCGCTGATCTCTTCACTACTCCGACAGGCCTTCCTCCTCAACGCAGAATTGACCATCGCATTCCCTTGATGCACGGTACTCAACCGGTGAACGTACGCCCATATCGCTATCCCCATTTTCAAAAAACTGAAATTGAAGCTTTGGTAAGAGAAATGCTCCGGGCTGGCGTTGTACAACCCAGTTGCAGCCCTTATTCCTCCCCTGTACTGCTTGTAAAAAAAAAGGATGGATCATGGCGTCTTTGTGTAGATTATCGCGCTTTGAATCATGCCACTATTAAGGATCGGTTTCCGATTCCCGTCGTGGATGAACTTTTGGATGAGCTTCATGGTGCTACAGTCTTCTCTAAATTGGATATGCGATCGGGTTATCACCAAATCCGTATGCATTCAGATGACGTTCAAAAGACTGCATTTCGCACACACGAGGGCCATTACGAATTCCTCGTCATGCCTTTCGGCCTCTCCAACGCCCCGTCGACTTTTCAATCCTTGATGAACAATATTTTTCGGCCGTTTCTTCGCAAATTTGTCCTGGTATTTTTTGACGACATCCTCATTTACAGCACCTCATTGACTGATCATTTGACACATTTAACTGCAGTCTTCTCTGTCTTGCGTGATCATGGCCTAAAATTGAAGCTTTCCAAGTGTGACTTTGCTCAACCCTCCATGAGCTACTTAGGCCACGTCCTCTCTGCTGCAGGTGTCGCAGTCGACCCCAAAAAGATCCATTGCATTCAAGAGTGGCCCCAACCCAAGACCCTCAAAGCGCTGCGCGGCTTCCTTGGCATCACAGGTTACTATCGGAAGTTTGTCCGTCATTATGGTCTTCTAGCCAAACCTCTAACAGATATGTTGAAGCATGATAGTTTCTCCTGGACTCCAAGTTCTACCCACGCATTCACAGCCCTCAAACAGGCCCTGGCCACAACTCCAGTCCTTGCTCTGCCCGATTTCACACAACCTTTTGTTTTGGAATGCGATGCTTCTAACACAGGCATTGGTGCTGTACTGTCCCAAAACCATCACCCCATCGCTTACCTCAGCAAGCCCCTTTCCTTGCGTCATCAATCCTTGTCCACATACGAAAAAGAAATGATGGCCATCCTTTTTGCGGTGGAGAAATGGCGGCCGTACCTCATCGGTTCCCACTTCAAAATCATCACCGATCACCAAACCTTGCGACACCTTCACGATCAACGCATTACAACACCTGCACAACACAAATGGCTCGCCAAGCTGCTGGGTTACAACTATACACTTGAATATCGGGCTGGAAGTTTGAATAAAGCCGCCGACGCTCTGTCTCGTCAGTCCGAAGATGTTGCCCTTCTTGCTACCTCTGCCCCAATATTTGATGGCATCATTGACATTCAAGCCCTTTATACGTCTGATCCTGATACGATTACCATTTTAAATGCTCTCAGTACCAACACAAAGGTGCCCGTTGGCTTCTCTTTTCAGAATCAACTCTTGTTATACCGGGATCGCATCTTTGTACCACGTACGTCCAACTGGCGCCTTAAGATTCTCACAGAGTTTCACTCCTCCCCTGTGGCAGGCCACTCCGGGTTTCTACGCACTTACAAACGTATTACTCGTTCATTTTTGTGGCCTGGAATTAAGAGAGATGTCAAACTCTTTGTTGCCTCGTGTGATATCTGCCAGAGAAACAACTATGAAGCGATCCGACCTCCTGGTCTCTTACAGCCTCTTCCGGTTCCTCAAGGTGTATGGCAGGACATTTCCCTTGATTTTGTTGAAGGCCTCCCAAAGTCTGCTGGCAAGAATGCTTTATTAGTTGTTGTGGATCGACTAACAAAGTATGGCCATTTTATCCCTTTGACGCACCCGTTTACAGCTGCAAAAATTTCTGACATATTCATCAAGGAGATTTTTCGGCTCCATGGCATGCCAAAAACTATTGTCAGTGATCGTGATCCCGTGTTCATTTCCAATTTTTGGGACTCCTTCTTCACAGCTCAGGGAACGCAACTCTGCCGCAGTTCTTCCTACCACCCACAGAGTGATGGTCAGACTGAAGTTCTTAATCGCACAGTGGAACATTACTTACGTTGTTTTGTCGACGACAAACCCTCCACTTGGGTCCATTGGCTCCCATGGGCGGAATGGTGGTACAACACCACATTCCAAGCTGCCATCAAGATGAGTCCTTACCAAGCTCTCTACGGTGTTCCCCCTCCATCTGTTCCCCAGTACCTTCAGGACACAAGCTTGGTTCAAGCAGTGGACCAGACCTTGCGACAGCGCGACCAGCTCCTCGCTTCCCTTCGCACCAACATGCTCCAAGCTCAGAACCGCATGAAGCTCTATGCTGATAGACACCGCACTGAACGTGAATTCAATGCTGGTGATTGGGTTTATTTGCGCATTCAACCTTACCGACAGACCTCTCTTGCTGCCCCACAAAATTTCAAGTTATCCCCCAAATACTATGGACCATATCAGGTTGAAGCACGCATTGGCAAAACTGCTTATCGCCTACGCCTACCACCTTCCGCCAAAATTCACCCTGTCTTTCATGTCTCCCTTTTAAAGCTTAAACTGGGTCAGAACATTCTTCCCTCCCCTGATCTTCCACCTACAGTTGCTGGCAATGAATTCCAATGGCTGCCTGAATCAGTCCTTGACCGTCGTCTCATCAAACAACACAATTCTCCAGTTGTTCAATGGCTTATCAAATGGGTTGGTCTACCACAGGCCGACGCCACCTGGGAAATCGCAGATGACATACTGGCTCGTTTTCCCTCCTTTATCGCATGAGGACATGCTCATTCGCAAGGGGGTAGGAATTGATGGAACCCCTGGTCCTCATGGACGAATGCCTTACCATTATGCTTTCCTCCAAGGCCACTTTAGCCATTCTATCATTTTTGATTAGCTGTTCACCTGTTCTTACGTGGCAGCCTACAGGCTGGCCCTAACAACCTCATGTATAAAATGCTATTGCATCAATGAGAAAGGATACTGAACTTTGCCAAATACTTATTTTGTCTGTTTCCTTCTATCTGTTTTGCAATACACTGTGCTGGTACCTATCAATCCGTAAGCAATTCTTGGGTGTCCAGAAAAAAGTTATTGGGTATCCATAGAATCACCTGTCATTTTCTCATGATCCAATAATTGTTCAATTGTCGAGTTCGGGAGAAAGAATCGCTTTCATTCAGTAAAATTTTTTTTACAAAAACATGAGAATGCTTCCTTCGTAGGCAAGCACTTGACCCCAAACAGCACTTTTTACATTTCAACCAGCTTTTGGACTGTAAAAATCACTCTCAAACACAGCCTTAATTGCTAATAGCTAGCTGCTAATATTAAGGTTTTTCTTCCAGATTTTCTAGTGATGATTGATGTAAGTGGTTTGATATATTTGCCTCAAACTTTTGCGAATCAAAGCTAGCATTCTTCGTCTAATTTCCACTGTTAATATCGTTAAATGGTTGCATAACCTCTATTACATCAATGCTCGAGATAAATAATGATCCTAGTTTATTATTGATGTCTACCAAAAAAAAGAAGAAGTTTATTACTGATGCAACATGCAATGGGAAGGGCTCTTCGAGTAAAGAATACATCTGGGACGGGTTTGGCTACTTTACAACATAACTCCTTCCCTGTCTCATAATAAAACCCCATTTTCCTCAACTGAAATATTTCTTATACAAAGCTCTAGAAATGGCAAGAGCATCTCCTTTTGCTTTCACTGGGTAAAGCTCGGTACCTGCTTGCCAACCGTTTGACAATGATATCCATTCTTTTCTCCATTCCTCCACCTCAAAGTCCTTATTGTCCCTCAAGCTTTTTGACAAATAACTAAAATAGGTTGAAGCTCGTGGTAGATAGTAGCTTCCCAATAGCCCACTCCAGAACTTATTTGCTGATGACAAGGAAAATTTCTTTGTTACATATGTGTGTGTGTGTGTGTGTGTGTGTGTGTGTGAGAGAGAGAGAGAGAGAGAGGGGAAAAGAAAAATGTGACAAAGTTTCAAGTTACATCATGTGACATTGAAATTAAGAGTACCATAATCATGAAGCTTGCTCTGGTTGGTTTTTGTGTTGTCAAACCACATCGTCACCTGTGTTCTTGCATTCCACTCATACTGAAAAATAGAAAAAGAATTTTTATCAGTAATTTTTATATTACTTTATGTCTACATGCTTTCCTAATGCGCAACTTGGGCTGAATTCTTGATGTTCAGCAGGGCAATAAAATGTTTACAAACCAAGCAGAAAAGACAAGGTGACCCTTCCCCCTTGGTCATACAGAAGGCATAAGCCTAAAATAGATATTCAAAGTGGGAAAAGGAAAATGTGTAGCTTAGCAGACCTCAAAATACTTGAATGTGTTGTTGCACCATGCTGATAAGTCTAAATTAATTGCAGATGGGGCAATATTACCCTCAAGAAAACTCTCATAAGCAAAAAGCAATAGGCCAGAGAGGGGCAAGTTTGTTCTCACCTGCCTCCTTTCCGTAGGATTAGCTGCCAGCTTTTTTGCACTTTCGAGCCAGGTTCCAAGTAAAAAGTTATCATCCGAAGCAAGAAGTACATCAATATCCTTTATGAGTTGAACAAAATTTCGACTATGGAGACTATACGCTTTCACATCCCTCCCCTGGTAAGCTGTCACTGCATCCACATATACTTGGTTCGCTAGCTTGGACAGTACTTGCCGTGTTAAATCAACCAAGTCATATCTGTCGCAGTGCTAAGAATAGTTAGGAATGATCCAATGCTTTATTTATTTTGGAAAAATCCTATCATGAACATGATATGTTATATTTGTCACATGTCTTATTCAGCTAAGTTCCTTTGCCAAAAAGATTAGTTGATAAAGAAATTGTATTTAACAAGCTCTGGAAGGAAAGTGAAATTAAATTGGTTACAATTTAGCATGCATGCTATGAAGTTAGGGAGAACAAAATAAAAACAAATATTTCAACCAGGGAACAAAGGATTCATTCAAAAGAATTAGAGTTATCATGTGATTCATACAGGAAATAAGAGCAGTAGATGGAAAGAAAGCATATCACAACATAACTATTAGGTTTGCCTTTACCTATATGTTAGGCTTCCAGAAAGATCATTACCACCATCGAGGAATAGTCGTAAAGCATTGACCACCTTTTGTGTAGAATACCACAAATGTGCCTGAGGCAAATGAGCGCTGGTTTCTTGGAGTAAAACTCTTCTCTTTCTATCGAGCGCTAAGAGCATTTGCATCTGGTTTTGTTTGGTAATGTTAGATATGGGATTTGACGATGGATCCCAGTCAGGAAATTTGACTATGAAATCTGTGTTATGGTCCTGCGACAAGTTAAAAGTCCATATCATTCATAGTACTTTTGCTCTCGAGCAACAACCATAACCTGAGGGCATCACCTATATGCAACATAAAACTAATATGAAAAAGGAAGAATCTCTATCATCAATCCCAAGTTCAAACACATCAGTCATTTAAAACTTTATATAAAACAGTGAAAGATAACATGGGGACAAAATAGCGTCTATCCAATAACTATATCATAAACCCCCTCTCTCTCGAGCAACAACCTGAGGTAACATAAAACTGATATGAAAAAGGAAGACTCTCTATCATTTAAACACATCAGTATTTAAAACTTTATGTAAAACAGTGAAGGATAACATGGGGACAAAATAGCGTCTCTCCAATAACTAATAAATGGATAAAAGCATGGCTCCCCCGCTCACCCCCCTTCTCAGTCTGTGTGATGCCATAAAAGTATCAGAATACTTGAGATAACCATTCCCAAAGGGCAGCATGATGATGCATCCCTTTCATAGTTTGACCTGTGTTCCAAGATTATGTTCCTAAGGAAATAAAAGTCATATAGGGACGGGATCAATTTTATCGAAAAACTCACAGCAATTCCATCTGTACAATTGTAAATTGTGTGGTGAAGAATTTCCCAAGCTGCCTCAACTTGATGAACTGTTTTACCATAGCGTCTACGGGAATAGGTTTTTAGCCAATCCTGCAAAGACAAAAGAGTTGATTTGCATATGTACAGAAAATAATTTCAGCAATCATCAACCAGCATAAGGCTGTTTACTCATTCTAATTACTTCATGCACTTGCAGCATGCTGATTGTAGGTGAACATGAGTTGTTACCGTGTACACCTACGTCTGGGACTCCAGGTTGTAGTTGCAAATAGCCAATGTGAAACTACTTTATTCTAACTAGCATAGAAAAACTAATATTTAGATTTACCCAATTAAAAGATGAACTAAAAGCATCCAAAACCAATCGATTTATTGCATAGCATTTAAAAACTCATAATTACCTGAACTTGAACCTTTTCACTGCGAAATGCCATTTCAGACGTCAATTCGTAAATAACTGGATTGTGCTCAATTCCTTCCATGCACATGCCAACACCAACCTATTATAATATCGACAAGTTACTTGAGTGTGCCTCAAAATAAGTAATTTCTATAAGATAAAAATATCAAATATGGTTCTCACTCCCCATCTTATTTTATAAAAATAAAAATAAAACTAAAACATTGGTCAGAGAGTATTATTTATGGAGCGTGGATAGCAAGATACTGGCACTTTGAACTATAATTTTAAAAGAGAAGTCCTTCACGGTAATAGGACATGTGTACAAGGTATCTGGCATACCATAGTAGAATTTTCACTAGTTCGGGCATCAACTGGACCTGAAGAAACCGCATCCAATATGCCATACATTTCAATGTTTCCACCAAAATTGTGCAAGAGACACCTAATGTACATTAGTAGTTGAGCAAGTAAGAAACATTTTGACTACAGGTGTTGAAACATAAAGTAAAAGCGGATACTAACAAATGAGTTAAGAGAGATGCATCTTGAGGATTGAACATCTCAATCAAGATGTAAATAACAGTTGACAAATTGAAGAGCCAATTACCAAATATAAGGAGTTCCATAAAACTGAGATGATGTTCTCCATATTGGTTTCACATCCGCAAATAGATCGAGAACTATCATTTTTCCAAACGGCACAGAATGTAGAAGAGCCTGCATTGTTCTTAAGTTGTTAAAGAACAATGGGAATAAACAATGGGGATTTTTGTGTGTATATAGTATGATAAAATCTGTATCTTTATTTACAATCTAAATGCCTACTTTCATTTGAGGTGGTTTCCAAAAAGAGGAGTCCGAATAGAAGAGCCAACCCTACAAAATGGCATAACTGTCAACTTTGAATAATTTTATCCATAACTGAGTAAAATTGCTCATATACAAAGTTCACAAACTCAATACACAGCGAACTGAGAAATGTCAAGGTCTGTAACTAATAAATTGGTCATGTTAGAAAAATATATGTACATATATATGCATATATGCGTATGTTAACAAATGGAGATAGTGCAGCTTGCAATTGAATTACAGCTGTGGCTAGTAAATCCTAGAAGGAATCAAAATTTTCAATAAACACTGTATAGCAAATTGACAGGCAAATTTATCAACATGACGAATACCAGTTGTTGCCAAATTCATACATCATTGAAATCATTCAGGTCTTTCCGTTCGATATAGGGTTATTAAGTATTAATTAAGTAATGAGTGGATAAGATAGAAACTATTAAATTCATTTTAAGTAGGCTGGAAGCGGGAGGAGTGGTTTGAAGTTAGGAACATACTTGCATTAACCACACAGCATCCTTATCACCTTTGGACATTGCTTTATACACAGCAGCTCCAAGTGATGAGATATACGCTGGATCATTTGTAGGTGGAGAATTTTCATTGAA